GATATATAAGCTAGATAGAAATATTTAAAAATATAAATACTATAAATAATACTAAAACGACACTGATTGGCCTAAATCAGAACAATTATGTGTAAGTAAATGTGATCAATGATTTATTTTAGCCTGTTAAGGAATCAGCCTGAATCATACATATATATAATGCAACAGTGATTTTGAAGGTGCTTTATTACATAACCCCATAAGCACATGCACCTGGCCTGCTGGATATGAATTGTATTGAAAGTCCAGGTAAGCCTTGTGTGTTGTTGTATGTTGTGCTTGTTTTTTAGTTGTATGTAAAAATTAGGGGGAGCCATAAATCTGATACCAAGGAAAATTATGATTGTCATTTCAATAACTATTTAATAACTCTGAACTGACTTTTATTATTATGCTGAAATATGTAGTGCTAAAATCTGATTACATCACAGCTGAATGTGTCTGAACATCTTGCAACAAATGTCCCTTTTCCACAAAATACTTCCCACTGTGGTCTTGGAGAGACTGCGCCAAATATTTGAGTGGTCAAAATTGGAATTGCAACGTGTTAACAGAGCAGTTTGAAAAAAAAAATGTTCCTATAAGAGCAAGTTTCTATTTTAGTATTTTATTTATTTATTTAGAATTTTTTTATTCTCCTTATATGTTTGTAAAAGAAAGCTTAGTGATATTAAAGTGACAATCTGTAATAACACTAAATGACAGCACAACACCAAAATGCAAAATGGTTGAATGAGTTGTCATAATCTGTAACTCATATTATTTTCTATACATTTCTATTAGACTTTCCATGTAAATGTGTCCTGAATTGATTATTTTTTCTCAGAAAGGGGGATGTGTGAAGTTCTTTCTGTTCTTTCTGCAATGCGCTGCAGAGGAAGCTATGGATGAGAATCTGTGGCCTAACATAATGGGACATCAGGAGGTGTAAAAAGGATTTTTACATTTCTAATTTTGTATTTTTCCCTTTGTGCTGTGAAATAGTCTTGTCTATTTCTTTTTATGTAGCACAATTATGTTTACAGTAATTATTGAGAGACCAAAAGTGAAAGCGTAAATGTGCATCCTGTCCAATCTTTTGCAATCAATATCACACATATAATAATGTGTAACATACTGTTGAAATTAATAGATGCCACACAGGAAAAGTACAGTCCTGTGCATTTTCAATCATTAAAAAAGTCTTTATTTATATTCAGGGTTTTTTTTTCTGTCTCATTTCCTTTTTGTCTTCATTAAGTACATAAGGGCCCAGGGTAATTCTCATATCAGACCTCTGTACTTTTCAAAGCATAGCATGTTATTCACAGCTGCTGTGGACCTCAGTGTTTGGCCAGGTATCACCTGAGTGTCACTGCAATTGACTATTTCTTGATCCCACTGGCCAAAGTGCACACAGCATTTCTGTATAAAGCTTTTTTTCTGAGTCGTCGGTCCTAGGCTGTGGCCTCAGTTCAGCCCCCTGCCCACACTAATGGCGCTTTTCCACTGCGTGGTACGACTCGGCTCGGTACGGCTCAGTACGGCTCGGTTTGCGTTTCCACTGCAGTTCAGTACCGCTTTAGAGTGGGCGGGATTATTCACATGTCATTATAGTTGCGCCGCCTCTACTACCACGACTCCTAAAATAACTTTTTCATTCCGCGTCGCCCCCTCAAGCTCTCGCTGGATCCGCTCCTCTGCTATCAACGAGAGGAACGTCTGTACTTCCGCAACAGACAACAAAACTTTTTGGTTGTTAAAAAAAGGTGCGCTCGTTCAAAACAGTAGCATTCGATCCTTCGCTGGCTGTGCTGATTTAAATCTAGCGGTTCTTTTGTGTTTGTGTCGCAAGTTCAGTGACGCGGGTAGTGACGATTCTCTCCGGCCAATCCGTGATCAGCAGAGTTTACACGTCACGTTTTGGTAACAGTACGGTTCGCTTGGAACCCCAACCGAAGTGGTACTAAAAAAAGTACCAGGTACCAGGTACTGTACCCAGTGGAAACCCCCCCAAAAGTGAACCATACCGAGCCGTACCGTGCCGTACCATGCAGTGGAATAGCGCCATAACTGTTCCAGATGGCGAAGGGAGGTACAGCAGAGGTAAGGCCACAGTCCTGTGCTGTGACACAGGTGGGGAATGGCCTGTTTAAACCCACAGGAAAGCATGCCTGGCTGACGCCCCCGTCCCTCCATCAGCTGTCCATGCCTACAGGCACACTGCATACACATGGGTTTGCTTGAAAAAGTCTGCTACACCAAGAAACTAGCTGAAAAACTTGTGAGGTGACAGCGATATTTAATAATTAAATATTTTGTGTCAGCATGCTTGAAAATGGGCAGATAAATATTCCTTTACTCGTGTGACATATTTAATTATTGAGTGAATTAAAATATTATTTTACATTCTAACGGATAGATAGATAGATATATAGATAGATAGATAGATAGGTTGGATGGATGGATGGATGAATGGATGGATGGTCGGATGGTTGGATGGATGGATGGATAAACAGACAGACCGGCAGGTAGGATAGAGAGAGAGAGAGAGAGATGGATGGACGGACGGACGGACGGATGGATAGATAGATAGATAGATAGATAGATAGATAGATGGATAGATAACCGATGTAGGTCAACACTTTAATCTAGGTGGATCCTGCTTTTCTTGTCATCTATCAGTCTGGGACCACATTAGCCACTTGAATGCTGTTAGGTGAAGCAGAATGGGCATTTCTGGCCGTATGTTTCCCCATCTGAAACAGATAAAGCTGTCCTGCACACCTTTGACTGTGGCTACAGCTGTCCCTCTCTCCATCCAGGGCCACATACGAGGAGCTCCAGCGACCACTGACGTGGACACATGCACACATGAAAGCGTCCATGGACAAATCTCCTGAGCTTCTCTGTCGTCCTAAAACCTTCTCAGGGTTCAGCTGGCAAAGTGCCCTCTCGTCCATTGGGAAGGTCAGTGTGAGGTGGGGACTGAGAGGGTCTGGGAAGGGGGAGCGATTAGGTAAGGTAAAAGTGCTGTCGGAGGTCTTCTACCTCAGTCTTATCCCTCAGGACGGGGGAAGGGGTTGTGTGTCTGTGTATGTGAGAAAAGAGGATTTCGTATGAGATCCCCATATTACCTTTCCCTGGTCAGGTGGAGCCATATGGGACATGTGTGTTTATATGTGTGTGGGCTTGACAGATGATTGTACTATGTACTATTGTACTATAATATATCTTAACTGTTATTCTTGTAAAATATAAAGAATTATTGATGCTTAGCATAGTCTTAACCCTTAAATAGTTGCTCTATCCTAAGGGATCTTTGAGAGACAGCAGGGAGGAACACTGAATGAATGGGCCTGATTTCTGAAAAAAAAAAACTGAAAAGAAGGACCCTGCGAATCTCAGTGTCAGTCAGGTCAAGTGATCTGGTAAATATTCTCTGGCAAAAACTCACCATCTTTATCTAAAAGTAACTAGGCAGTAAGCTGTGAGAGGACCACTGACCTTACAGTCAATGCTCCCAACCTTTACATGCTAAAGTATTTTCATGAGAAATACAAACCATAAAAATTTAAATGAAAGCAATCTAAAATAGAAACATTATTTGAGTCTTATAGTTAAATAGTGGATTTTAAATAGTATAATATATTGTATGTGACATGTCTCATTGTCTGTATTGTAACTTTATACTGTATATTGATGCATTGCACACTGAGTGGATTTCAGTTGTGACTAAGATAAATTCCAGTACTTCAAACTTATTCTGTTACTATTAATAGAATTAATATTCTATTAATAATTAAAAATAATTTCTGAGCTTCCAAATCAACAAATAAGGTTTAAGAAAAAACTTGAACTACAGATTGTTTATATTTGGGAAAATTTTTATAATGTAATTGTGTGATAAGGGAAAAGAGTACACTCTAAAAAATGCGGGGTTAAATATAACCCAGCGCAGGGTTAAAAAGGGACAAACCCAGCTATTGGGTTGTTTTGACCCAGCGGTTTCCAAAACAATTAACAATACCCATGTTATACACTTATTAGTACTATATTTCAGTGTGCTGTTTATTCTAATATGAGCTAATGGGACAAACGGCATAATTTAAATTTGTTCAGAAAGTCTAAGTGATTATGACTCTGATTTGAAAAGTCAGCAGGATAGCACAGTTAAAATGACTATGAACAAAATGCTTACTTTTCCATTTTTATTTATTTATTTCATTTGTAAGTCAGGCCTGTTGTATAATTTCACATTGTTTAGGCCCAAGAGCTATTTACATGCCGATTCATGATGTCTGTTCGTCTGAGATTTCCCAGAAATAAATAATATTTTTCATAAAAAAATATTTATTTATTTATTTATTTTCACTTATAGAGACCATCAAGACCATCAGCACAGTCTTTACATTTTCATGCTTTTTGGTGATAGCACACTTTTTGATTTGTTCTCTTAATTTTAAATTACTTGCAGTGATAGGCTATTGCCCATTTTAACTGACTGCAGTTGGTCTACATGTAAAATAATGCTTATGATCTGTGTTGTCTGGCAGGATGGAGAGCCCAGGTGTGAGTGCGGACATGA